GATGATTGGAGCCAGACCTATCCTTGGCTATAGGCACTGCAGCCGACCCAAACCTAATTAAGAAAGATCCTGAATAAACTTGAATGAGGGCCAAAATCACTAGCCCCTTCAATCAATACTTTTGATATAAAAATTAGCAGCTGGGCCTAATAAAAGGGAGCACTGTTATATGCTACAGCAAAACAAAGTCTCGTTTTGCTCCTATTCTGACCTTCTGTTGTGGGATATTTTATTGGTTTGTGTCTGTGATAACTTCTCAGAGTAGTTGACTTGCAAATGTCAGAATTCAGCCTCCCATTTGGACCATGGGATGCAATGAAAATTAGAGTAACCAGTCCCTACATTAAACCCAGATTGGCGTGGGAATCAACCTTTTCCAAATGGGTAAACTGGTTTCACTTGTTCTCTTATTCGTGATTGAATTACTCCTGCTAATATATAATGTTTAGCTAGAATAACTTTTTAAGAAAATTGATTTGATGAGGAAGAGGATAAACATTCTAAGAAAAAACAATCTACCATCGAAGTCTTGGAAGTTCTCTTTATGCAGTGCTAATCCCCTCACAACTTGAATATACTTGCCTTCCAAGATGAAGCCATTATTAATCTCTACAAGAGTGCTTGGAAGATAATGTTGTAGTTCTTAATATCGTGTCTGGCACATGGTAAGTGTCTAAAAATGATTGCTTTATTGTCTTTCAAGACACCACATACTGACTTTAGAAATAATTTCTGGTTTAAATCCATGGAATTTACATGCAGGCTATACAACAGAGAAAGAAAAGGTTAACATTTGACTCCTTTTAATGCCTTTGTTTTCCTGAAGACTTATCTTTTAATAAGGTTGAAAAGAAGAATAAATTAAGACACCCTTTCCTTTTAGAGATACTCAGTAAAATGTTTACTGATAATACGATTTCTGGGGTTTGCTTCAAAGTAATCTGGTGAGAGAGGGAGTGAAATGGGTGGGGGAATAGAAGAAAAGATTGGCCATGAATTGGTAATGTTTGAAGATGAGTAACAGGTGTATGTCGGCTCATTATACTATTTGATTTTACTGTATGTTTAACATTTTCTGAGATAAAGCTTTTGCAAAATGAATCAATTAAAATCATTTTAAAAATAATAAGTCACAGCTGAGTCCCTTCCCAGGCATTGTCATCTGCTCAATAGACCTGCCCAAGCTAATGCCTAGCCCCACGCCTCTACCAATAGCTTGCATCTGGCATCCTTGTCAATTTAACTTGACCCTAAAGGACCATCTCAGGTGCACAGTTTGCATGGAATTGGTGGAGGCCTGTGCTATGATAACATCATAGTTCAACTCTTCCCCTTTCTAATCCTGTTCCCTTACTCTTATGTTGGTATTGTACCATTGTAGGTGGTCTCAGTGGTGTGCTAGTAAATGTTTAACCGCCAGCTCTCTAAAGCCCTGACTTGTAGTGTCTGCCAATTTTCATGGTGTAAATACTCCCATTGTGGCCAATTTCAAGCTACCAATCTGATGTCACTGAATGAGGAATTAGAAAGAAATGTGCACAATTTGTTCTCATGACAGTGCAAGCCAACTCCAGCCACCCCTACTAACTTTCCCAGTGAAATTCTTAAATACAAATCTCTGCCTCAGTCTTTTTTCAGGGTAACCTAAACTAAATCAACAGAAAACCATCAATTATTTTCATATTATTTTTATTTATTTTAAAACTAACATTTTACAGGCAGAATAAAGTGAAATTGGTCATTTCAAACGTTTCAGTGAAACATACATTTCTCTCTCTCTTTCGCACACATGCGCAGACACATGCACACACACACACACACACACACATCCCACATACATCATGACACCATAAGACAATGTCCCTCAATAATTGCCTAGAAATATTTAAAATACAGACTCCTTTTACTTTTCTAGACATTACACAGCTGAGTAGGGCATTCTAAAGAATAGACTTCAAATATGTTGTTCTTACTGTTTTGAGACCAGGAAACATTGCCAAGAATTTACCTGATGCTGTTCGTATTGTTATTATTACAATTGTTATTATTGCTACAAATCAAAATATATATTTAAGAGTTAATGTTTCATCATCATCAGAACTGAGGTTTTTAAATCAGAGTAGGCCATTTGTAATATTTGCTATCTCTGAAGAAAAATCCAAAAGAGTATTGTTTGTTTGAAGAACTGTTAAGACTTTTACCCTACTGAAGAGCTATTGTTGGAATAAATAAATAATCAGAGGCTGAAGGCTGTTTTTTAAAGAGCAGGAAAAGAAAAGAGACGAAAGATACCACATTCAGGCCAGGTGAGGTGGCTCAGGCCTGTAATCCCAGCACTTTGGGAGGCCAAGGTGGGAGGATCACCTGAGGTCAGGAGTTCGAGACGAGCGTGACCAACATGGAGAAACCTCGTCTCTACTAAAAATACAAAATTAGCCGTGCTTGGTGGCACATGCCTGTAAACCCAGCTACTCAGGAGGCTGAGGCAGGAGAATTGCTTGAACCCAGGAGGCGGAGGTTGCAATGAGCCGAGATCTTACCACTGCACTATAGCCTGGGCAACAAGAACAAAACTCTGTCTCAAAAAAAAAAAAAAAAAGAAAGATACCACATTCGAAGGAAGAAGGTGATGAAAAGGAAATGGGCATCTTATAGGGAATGATACAGACAACTGAAGAAGGAATAATTTTACCCAAATGAATGGCAGATTGTTCTTCAATATTGGATCAATTTTTGTAGAAAGAGAAGTTACTTGGAAAATGGGAACAAAATGTCCCAATGAGGAGAAAATGTTGACTGTGGAATAAATTAATTTTACCAGTATATGTACACTTAATTATGAACAAGAGAATCAGAACAAGGTTCCTGCTATTAGAGCCAATTGGTTTATCAAATTAGAAGTTTGAATAATGTTCTTAAATTTTGGCATGGATTAGAATCACCCAGGAAGGCTGGTCAAAAATGTAGATTCCTGGACACTACAACTATTATGTTTCAGTAAAGGTCTGGTATACGGCCCAGGGGTATGGATTTTAGGCAGCTTCCTAGTAAATTCCAAAGCCTGTAGTCTCTGTTAAATCAAAGCATGCCGAAAGGCAATATGGTTAAACATCTATGACACCATCGTTTCATGATGAGATTAGGAATAAGTCTATGCCATTTCCTTATCATACAGAGATGGCCTCCTTACAAATACCATCCGGAACCTTTATCTTCTGCTTTCCTGAAGGTCATTTTCAAGAACATCTTCCATTTATCTCTCAACCAACCAGATTTTCATCTATACCTTTATATACTTGCTTACTCCATAAAGGAAAAACGCATATGTGTATGTGTGTGTGCATATGTGTACACGTGAACAGAAGGGCTGAGGACTCATAACATTATAGAAAATTCTCTTTTCCAACAGATCTAACCAAAGAGACGTTTTTGGCTCTGATATAGTTATCAAGACTCAATAATCAAATAACTTTAATCATAAATTAAAATCATGAACCTATTAGCCTAGGATTGGAGAGCTTTTTCTTAAATTAAAAATCTCATTATTCACAATCACCCTCCTAACTAACCTTACTCTATATGACATATATTCTAATATTATGGGCCCTATGGAACCTGGGCACCTTCTAATGCACTCTGGAAGCATTCTTCTTGGATTATACCTGTATATCAACAGTTGTTCTCATACCTGTGTATTCAATGTGGACTCTCTGACAGAAATAGGTCCTTTTGTTTTGTACATTGCAGTGTAATAAATTGCCCCTGAACTCTTGAATCTTGATAAAAAGAGACTAACTTACTCCCTGCCCTCCATGCTGGGTGGGTAAGTAGTTTCCCATGATGAATTAAACCCAATCTCCTCCATGAAAGTAATAATAGTGGACATTCCTGCTCATGAAGACACTCATCTAGGGGCTTAAAACTTGAACGGTAGATGTGAAGGTGTGTGTGAAGATCACAGACAGATCCAGAAAGGAAGGAAGATGTTTATTGCTTTCCATACCTTGTAGAAGGACTAGATGTCGCGCTGTCTTTTTGACCTCCTGTTTCCTTTATAGAACTCAAGGCATTTATGCATTTTGGACAATTAACTAGCAAGAATTTAGTTTAAATGCACATATTCAAGAGATGAGAACAGTATGTCTTCCTTTCTTTGCACATTTATGACACTTTTTCTTTGCACAAATAATGCATCAGTTTCATTGAGAAGAGTTGGAATTTTGTTATCAAAATCGTTGGATGGGAAACGGCATTTTCAGAACCCACCTCTTTTCCTGTTTCACTAACAATATTCCTTACAACCTGTAAACATTCATGAAGAACTCTATTATTGTGATCCATTTTTAAACCAACGCACCCACGCTGATCACTTTTTTCCTTTAATACGCTTTGAGCATCAAGTCACATTGCTCCATCCATCGCAGGCGCTGCGGGTGGAGTTTCTATCTCAGTGCACAGCATGAAAGCGTGGGTCCATCTGTGCCACACAAAGCCAAGCGTCTCTTGAAGTGATTTGTTTACAGTGTCATTTGATGGAGTGGAATGTTCTGCAACTCATTCGAACTGTTACAGAAGCTTTGCTAAAAGGTCACCACTGCTCTTTAGAGTTTCCAAATCTGGGCACCATCTGGGAGCTTGTTTAAGATAAGGTTCTCCACGGGCTTTTTCCATACAAATGAGATCGGATTAACAAAAGGCTACTTTTCCATAGAAGTTTGTGTTCATATTGAGTAGAAGAGAGAGAGAGAAAGAGAGAACACAAGTAGATTACAGTCAGTTACCTCAAAGTGTGCAAGCCCACTTTCTCCCAATTCAGAGGGCATGTAACAAGTGATAGTATCATTGAATCGGCCTAAACAAGGGTGTTGGTCTTGAAAAAGTTAGAATTTGCTTTTAAATGTCCTTCTTGAATCAATACATTCTTCAAATATGGTCTTGGGAGTCTAAAGGACTTCGAAGATGGTCTTGGGAGTTCTAAAGGACATTGAATTTCACCATTTACTTGAAATTCAATAGGAAAATGACAACTAATTTTTTAAGGTAATAGAGGCTATGCAGGGTAAGCATTCACTGTGCACTGCACCAGCAAGGTTCAAGTTGTTGTAACTACCATTTTAGTCTAGGCCTAAAAGTGGCTTGTGCTTGCTTTCTGCCCCCTTTCTTATGAAACAAACATCTTGAATTTTCCAAACCTCAAAAGCTCAGCTGTAAAACTGTAGGAGACCAGCAAGAGGAAAAGGAAAACTTCCTTCAAAGACATCTCTAGTTGCAGTTGACCAGTTCTGCTTTCCGCCTCGAAACATTAACTATGTCTTTTGACACTTGTCTGTGAAAAACGTCCAAATGTGACAAATGGTAGAAACAACATTTCTTTACCCTCCTGCCTGGAACTTCCCATGATACAGATGAGTTCTAGCTGATGCTTTTATGAGTGGAACAAGGAAGGTGGCTACTGTCCACCACACTCACCGACATCTGCAGATGGAATAAGTAAACACATAGTGAACTTACTGAATAAAAATTTTAAATCCTCTCATTTGCATTTGGTCGGAACCCCTGAAAGGGTCTGCACAGTAGCAGCTAAAACACAGGCTCATTGCCATTAAAAATATTCTCAGAAGTGTGTGTGTGTGTATTTCTAGCAGAATACTTGGAAGAAGAGAGACTTAAATCTGGAATCATGTTTTTGTCTCTGCAGTCCAGGCTGGAGACATTAAAAACAGCAATGTCTCCCTCAGTTCAATCAAGCTGGTCTGGGAACCAAAATCATCCTGAGGAAGGGGGAGAAATCCATTTATTTTCCTTGTGAGGCAAGGAGGGAGGTCTTTCTCACAAAGTATTTGTGTGTCATTCAGGACCAGGAAACTTAATCTTCGAGTTCAAAGCTCGTCTCATCATAGAGCTCGGGACGTGCTGACTTCTTGTGCCGGGAATATTTCAGTTGCAGGAGATCACCCATTTCATCAAGAGCTTCCAAAACCTGCAATGAGATTGCTTTCCAATAGCTATCATTGAACACCTAAGTAACCCTGCTTTGCAGAGCCCAGGTTAATAGCAAGCCTCACAAAGACACACAGTCTTATTCTGCTAGCTTCTTTGATTTTAAAGAAAAGAAGCAAGATCCGTACCATTAGGTTGTGGTTTAAGACCCTAGAGGAATGTTAGATGCTAATTAATTTTATTTATTGGTCTAACTCCATACTATGAATGTTATTTTATTCTGAGAGTGTGAAGAGGAGAATAAAAACATGTGACCCATGCTTACCCTTAAAATATTTTATTTTAAAATGTGATGACTTATATGTAATCTTGTGGAAGAAAAAGATAAGGTTGCAGAATGTATTTGAAGTTATATCTTCATGACACAGCAAACCACCTGGCCAAGAACAAAGTGGAATGTTGTGGGAGCTGATTAACATCATCCTCTGTCCCCTCATGCTACCCCAGGCCTCCTGCTTTTAAATACTCATCTCTGTGTCCCATGAAATACTAGAACTTAACTCACAGGGACTGAGAACTCATCTGTTTCAACTCTCTTACTTTAGGCAGGTAGACGTATCCCCAATTTTACACATGAAACAACTGAGATCCAGAAAGTAAAAAAAGGTCATTTTCGATTGTAGTATATCACTAATCCTATGGTATTGGTCATGCCTTTTTAACCTTTCTGAGCCTGTTTTTCTTAACCTGCCAAATGAGGAGGAAGATAATATTAGGGTCTAATACTTTGAAAAGGTAAGGTGAGGGCTGGGCGCGGGGGCTCATGCCTGTAATCCCAGCACTTTGGGAGGCCGGGCGGGCGGACCACGATATCAGGAGATCGAGACCATCCTGGCTAACACGGTGAAACCCCATCTCTACTAAAAATACAAAAAAATTAGCCAGGCGTGGTGGCGGGTGCCTGTAGTCCCGGCTACTCGGGAGGCTGAGGCAGGAGAATGGCATGAACCCAGAAGGTGGAGGTTGCAGT